GGATATTTACCTTGGATTAAAATGTTATAGCCATGGATGGTAAATTTCGTTCTTTTGTTTCCTTCTCTGGGAAATAATTATATCGGATCCGGGATGACAAAGACAATAGGATACCGAGACTGGAGATGGCAGGTGCTTTGGTGGCATCTTTTCTTTCTTTTGTGGAGTACAATAGACGGACAAACTCGTTACAGCATCCCAGAGGAGCTAAAACGGGGATCTGTGGTAGGAAATCTTGCCAAAGATCTGGGTTTGGGACTGTCTGAGATTTTTGACCGTAAGCTGCGCGTTGCTTCTGAGGCTGGTGAGCAGTATTTCAGCGTGGATGCGGGGAAGGGCGAGCTCGTGGTGAATGACAGAATAGACAGAGAGGCTTTATGCGGACAAAGCGCCATCTGTGTGTTGACGTTGCAAGTGGTCATTGATAAACCTTTACAGTTGTACCGAGTGGAGGTGGAAATACAAGATATCAATGATAATTGCCCTACATTCCCATCTCCAGAAACAACATTGCAGATAGCAGAGTCGACAGCGGCAGGGGCACGTTTTCCTTTGGAGACCGCGCAAGATCTTGATGTCGGAGTGAATTCAGTGAGATCGTATAGTTTAAATAAAGACGATTTTTTTACTTTAAAGCTTAAAGATGTCTCCGGTGGAAGGAAGGTGCCAGAATTAGTCCTCTCTAAATCCCTCGACAGAGAAAAAAAGCCTACACATCACCTCCAACTAACAGCTATAGACGGAGGAAACCCGGTGAAATCTGGGATATCTCAGATAACCATAAATGTATTGGACATTAATGACAATTTCCCTGTTTTTGAGAAAAATGTTTACAAAGTCTCTGTAAGTGAAAATAGTGTGCAGGGTACACCCATTATTAAACTGATAGCAAAGGATATTGATGAGGGTCTCAATGGAGAAATTGAGTATTCATTTGGGGGGCACACACCAGACAGTATCTTGTCTTTGTTTGATATTGATTTATTAACCGGGGAAATTAGTCTGACAGAGAGTTTAGATTTCGAATCAAATGCTAATTATGAAATGGATGTTTCCGCTAGAGACAAAGGGACTCCGAGAATGGAGGGGCATTGCTCTCTCCATATTGAAGTATTAGATGTTAACGATAATGCTCCAAATATATTTCTGACCTCCCAACCTAACCCTGTGCCTGAGGATGCACCAAGTGGGACTGTAGTAGCGTTAATCAGTGCAAGAGACATGGATTCCGGTGACAATGGTAAAGTGACACTGCAGCTCCTTAAGGGCTCTCTTTTTAAACTGAAACCCTCTTTTTCTAATAATTATGCACTGGTTACCAGCGGTCCTTTAGACCGAGAGAGTTCCTCAGAGTATAATATAGAAATAACAGCTACTGATTTAGGGTCCCCTCCTCTGTCGACAAAAAAGACTATTAATGTCACTATCACTGATGTTAATGATAATGCTCCTGTATTCACTCAGAAAACCTATAATGTGTATTTAAAAGAGAATGGAGTACCAGGCTCTGTCCTGTACTCAGTATCAGCATCTGACCTGGATTTCGGTGAAAACGCAAAGGTCTCTTACTCTATACTGGATTCTAAAGTGCAGGACGTTTCTGTCTCATCGTATGTTTACATTAACTCAGATAACGGCAGCATCTACAGCATGCACTCGTTTGACTATGAGAAACTGAAGGTGTTTCAGATTCAGGTCCAGGCAAAGGATCAGGGCTCTCCGTCTCTCAGCAGCAACGCCACTGTCCATGTTTTTATCCTGGACCAGAACGACAAT